AACACAAAGAAAATGCGCTTCGTTTTTTAACGATAACATATGCTGACAAATTAGAGGCGGACCCAAAAAGAGGGATATCTGGTAAAGTTGATACTAGCGATAGTGGAGCGTCCATTATTCCATCACAATCGAAGCGAGAACAATGTAAACGGATCGATATGTAATTAGTGAATATTACTAACAAATAAAGCGAAGGTGACGTGAGTATTTGGAAGTAAATATGTAATGTAAAAACATGAAAATACCGAGTTGAAACGAAGAACGTATCCGTAGTGCAACCATCAGGTATTTTCTAATTGTCAATTTCGTATTTCTCGTTCGCAAACACGCTCTTTGCATAAAATTAATTAACACGTCAAGATGCAAATTTTAATATAAAGGGGCTATATATTCTTGAGATACTAATCGCAATTAAAAAATAACTAATTATTTTAAATGCTGACATAAATGCACACCTTTTCATTAAAACCATAATCACGTAGTTAAATCGAGTTTGGTTTTTGAGTTATTTCGTTCGCAACGTATTACACGAAAGATCGACAGTACTCAATAATTAATTGATAGCAATAATCAATACTCAAGATCAAGCAATGTAGTAGAAATCGTAATTGAAATAAAAAGTATCGTGACGTGACGTACTCAGCGACACACACACACGTACGAAAGGCTACTATACTGCAGCCAAAAAACTGTCGTTTTTTTCTCCCGACGCGACGGGCGTACTCAGCGTTAATTATTCTCTTCGACATTAACGTAATAAGAGACCGTAATAAGTAACCGTTCTTCTCTCTCACCCTAAGTTTTTTGTTATTAACGTTAACAACTTACTCGGCGTACATCGCGTGACGTGAGTCACGAATAATAACGTTTCGTCATGCTGTTTCGGCGCAATCTTAACCCACACGGTGTTGTATATACATATATGTTATATATGTATATTAGAGATTATAGGACGACCGATAAGACTCAGATGTTTATCTATTTATCTAAGCTCTGCGATCTTCACGCTTTGACATGCACATGCACGATGTTGCGTGTTTCATTCGACGACTTTTCCGTAACGTTTTTTTCTCCTCGAAAGCAGGCTTAAGAGTAAAACAGTCGACGGTCATGTCATGAGTTTCTGAGGGAGCGACAACGTTTCTCGACGATTTAAATTTAAGGTGTTCGACGTTCGACCTTCGACCTTCGACCTTCGACCTTCGACATTTAAAAAGCAGCTTCGTCTATGCACGAAGAACGTGATTCTTCGGAAATTCTATGACGTACTTTACGCACGTGGACAGTCATCTTATGCTCGATCGTCAAGCGGTTTAACATGAGCGTCATGACATTCACGCTACGTGTAAGCTCACGCGGAATCGATTTTGGAAAACGCATCTTTAAGCTTCAAGCGATTGAAAAACTAAAGTACCTATTTAAGTAAAGCCTCGCGCGAGCATCGAGATTTAATATATCAATAATATATATAATAGATTAATCGTTGATCGTTGACAAGTCAAACTGCTGATCGCGCGTGACACGTGTGACACGTAAAAACGGTGAACCGAGACACGGTATTCACCGTTTTATTTCGATTACCGTAGTGGACCGTACCTGTTGCAAGAGGAGCAACGGAAAGTGGTCCCGGGTCCAGGCGCGGTGCTCCAGTGCTCCAGAAACTCGTCCCCCCGCTCGCGCTGTCGAGGTTGGACAGGTTGGACTGGCTCTCGTGGTGACGCCGTCGTCCGTCGTTGTATCCGCCAGGCGGATACACGTAGAATACAGTCGCGTGCTAGCACTGCTAGCTGCTCGGCGCTCGCGGCTCCGACTCGCGGCGCGGCGCCGGCGGCATCGATTCGCCCGATGAGCCGCGTTCCGCGTTCTGTCTGATTCTGTCTTCTGTCTTCTGTCTCGCGAGCGACCGTACGCTCCGTGCCCTCCGTGGTACGCTCACTCGTCGCGCGATAACGGCAACGCGATAACGTACGTTACGCACATGCAAACGACACGTGTCTCGACTCTCCGCTCTCCGCTCTCCGCTCTCCGCTCTCGCTTATCGGTGCGGCGCGGCGTGACAACAATCCGCTCGCCTGACCGAGCAGATTTCGGCTTTACGCGTACGCGCGCGCGCGCGCGCGCGCCCTCCCTTCCTCGAACGAAAGACGGAAGAAGCGGAGCGATTTGGCCTTTCGCGACAGGCCGCGGGAGGTTCGACGAGCGCTGTTAATTCTCACTGTTGGCCGGTCACGGAGTGAGCTCGACGGCATTGACTCCGATTTTCCGAGACCAGAGGCGGACAGGCGGGCAGGCGGCCTAGACTCTAACGGGTCGTCCTGCGGCCTGCGGCGCGACGGACGAGCGCGGAACGCGGAGCGGGACAAACGGAACGAGCGAATCTGATAGGAGGGTAGCACGCGCGCTGTGACGCTGTGGCACTATGGCGCACCGCATCCGCGCAAGTGCCGGCACACGGCAGTCACGGCACCCCACGACCCCACGGCACCCGTAGTCCTGACACTCTCGACTCCCGTAATCCGCTGGTCCACGCCCCGCGCCCCGCGGCAAGCGGCAAGGGCAGGGCGGCGCAAACCAGGGTTCGACTACTAACTCCGATCCACCGTCTACCACCGCGTTAACTCATCCTCCAATGTCCCACTTGTATTCTAATTATGATTCGTGCAACTGAATTTAATACGCACGTAAGAGATTATGAAGCAACAGAATAAATAAAAATTATAATAAAGCAGACCTGCGAAAATGAAATTGTACTCGATAATAGAATTAAAGAACGTAGCAAGCTTTCCAAATGTAAAATAATGCTCGACATTTTAAGAAAAAATAAAAGTAAATCGTTATATAGAATTATGTTAAAAGGAAAATCAATTTACACATATACACATATAATATAAAACGCGATTAATAATTGATTTTTCATTTTCGAGATGAAAGAGATCAGCGACTCGTCGCACGCAGGCTCCTCTCTGCTCCTTATTTCTTCTGCCTCGCACCTCGCACATTCGAGACACGTTTATGAACAATGCGAGGAGTACGTCATCTACTTTTTATAAGAAGGATACGTTGATAACGCGATAGAGCTGTGTATAAAAATAAACGTGTTCTACATAGAAATATATTAAAAAGAAAAATAGATCTGCAACATAAATCGCGCGTATCTCCATATAGAACCGTCGACCCCGTTTTCGTGATTAAAAAAGACGTACGCGTCGCGTCAATGCGGTTTCCTTTCTACTTTTCCCACGTTTAAGATAAACACACGTTCGTGAATGACGATGAATGCATACGTCATCCACTTTTTTGTAAAAAAAAAAAAAGAGAGAGGAAGAAACAGACGTACACATATATCACCAGAAATATAGCACTTCCACCCCCTAATGTAGATCACGCTGTGGGGTTAAATCTACATCATGGTTTCAGTCCTGCCAACTTTGCCAATATGGTTCTATGCAGGATCATGCAGGATCCAGCGAATACGAATGATAAAATATCGTAATACTGTGGTAAGGGGGTTGCACGTTCATGCCTTTCCGGTGGGTCTCCGTTACAAACTGGCCGCGATGGAAGGAACCAACGGAACGGCGATGATTATAGATCGTGCTCGGTCATGCCGTTTTACTTTATTACGAGGACACCGCGAGCCGGCAATATGTGACGTCACTCCAACGTTACGTTAAGCGCGCGCGCGACGTTTCCGCTTATATCGATATGGTTTAAAATATCGATCGCCGACGAGGTCGAAACGCGACCTCGCAAGTTCGGAACTAAGTTCGCTCAACAACCTTGCGTGGCGACGCGAGAAAGAACGCCGCTCGTCTTACTTCTGTAAGCAGAATAAGCCCCGACCCCCCGACTCTCGGCCGCCAGCGCCAGGTCGCCACTCGCCCATTTGCCGCTCAAATCTCAACGTCGCTCAAAGTGTTTTGTTAGCGAAAACGTATCTTTGTTTATATGTCAACGAAAGACGTTCAATATTTTGCGTGCACAAATCTATTATAATATACATTTATACATATATATATATAGATATATAATATATTAAAGGAATAAGCGCACGTCAGATAGGGTACCCACTTAATAAAATTGAATATATACGGATGGATGATAGACTGTCATAGAGACACTTGTTTCAAAAGCATCTCTTGTACGTATACATTAATAAATGTTAATTAATTCAATTCGATTTATTCCGAAACGAGGTCAAATGTAAATTTTTTGAAATAAAGATTATATTACAGCTGTAAAGCTTTCCAAACTGTCTTAAATTTATATTTTGAAGAAATAATCCTTAAACGTTTTAAAAATATCTGCTCGACTTTCTGTGAAACACGTCAAGTTCCTTCAAAATAAGTTGCTCTGAGTTCCCTTGACTGAGTCGCGTTACTTTGCCGTACGTCGTATCGGCGGAGGGAGTCAAAATTAGAGTAAATACTCCACAGGATATAGGAATTACGAGCTACGACTTGTCAGTTGTCACGCAGGAAGGCCTATGTCTATGTCGATGCTTACTGTCGCTGCTTACGTACGTGACAACATAAATATAGCTGTCCCGCGCAGCCAACGTATACGTATAGTAGCCAACCTATAGGTATACAATACCGCCAGCCAGCTATAATGATTTACCTAAAGCTAATTATCGCTGTCAATAATGCGATATTATATCGCGCACGTGCGAGCACAATCAATCTGCCCATCGATCAAATCATCAGCATAGGTCATAAAAAATGTAAAAAAATCGTTAAGTATGCACATGTCTATGGCGAGTAACATTACGAATGCAAAAAGATCGTTATATACTGTAATAACATTGCACAGGCATATGTGTGTGACGATTTCCTTCGATCGTGATCATCGCAATACACGGCCTAGGTTGGCTGCGAAATACGTACACTGTACAGCGACTACATCATTAATCAGGTCCGTGCTGACGTTTGCTGACGTTTCTATTGTTATTATTTCCCGCTGACAAGGAAAGAAATAATTTAAGACAAAAATTGCCAAAATGTTAAATATCCTTTTTATTTAGAAAAAAATTAACGTGTGATGTTAAATTCTTTTTAGAAAAAAATGTTATGTTTTCTAACATCATGTCGATTTTCAGTTATTAGTTGTCACATTACATTCAACTCGATTAATCTTTCAGATATAAATATACGGACCTTTCATCTTTACAAATGCCGGTTAAGCCTTAAAATTTTACTATCGTATAAACAATATCTAGATCCGCGTAAGATAATACCACACGTGACGATGGGAAACTAGGGAAATATAGCATGACGTCGAGACATGTCTTGTCGAGATACAGAAAATAAATACGATACACTATATGCATCGGATCTAGGATCTAGGATCGATAACGGCATAGCTGTTATCTCTGCGACTTTCACGGAAAAAATAGCGTGCATCGTTAACCTTCCAACCGTAGCGTGCGCAGAGGTTGACTGCGATTATACAAATTTTATAAAAATCGTGCAAACTGATTTTCTTTATCATACGGCATATTAACGTATTAAGATAAGGTTATCAAAAATGCCTTACAAGACACATTATATTTTACATTTGAATGTATTTTAGGATAAAATATGAAATGTCACAAATTCACTTTTCACGATAACCCTATCATATTTTTATATATAACACGAAAGAAAACGTACTTTACGAAAAAGCATGATTTTATTTAGGAAAGTAGAAACGAGCTTGAAATGTCACCTCTACAAGACCACGCTAACCACAAAATATCTTCTTCAACGACGAACTTCTTTGTAATGTAATGTCCCCCCCTCCCTCTACGTATTAAAAATGTATTTTTTCGTTTACAACACACACCTTTACATAAAACATACAATACACTCGTGTATTCAATCTTTCACTTGACACAATGACGCGTAACACATTGCACGACATATATATATATATATATATTCCGAGCGTGCTGACATAAAAAGCATAGATCTTAACGTCTTGTCTTATGATACACTTGAACAAATATATATTATATATTTTTTTTTTCTAAAAATATACACTTATATCGTCATATACATATATGTCGCATTCATACGTTCTCTGCGAGATTTATATAAATTTAAATGCTAAAAACGCTTTCATTTGTTCGTTTCATTATGTACGCTAAAACGTGTGCGTTTTGTATGTACCTACATCATGCGTATCCCAAACGCTGAGTAGAAGCGACTATTTGAAGCTGAGTACCTCGCACGTTGTATGCGTCACACGTCGTATCGCAAAAAAAGCTAAGTACGCGTTCCAACAATTAAAAAAAAAAATAAAAAAGATGAAATTGTGCAAGTTGAAACTTGCACATTGCTTCCTCATAGTTATTAAGTGTGCAAGTTGATGAAGCATTATTTTTTTCAATGTATAATTTTCAGTATTTATTTGTGTTGGCTTCCTCATAGAGGAAGCTTTGTGTGCGAAGGTTTCTACTTAAACACTTAAAAACTCTAATCAAGCAATGTGCAGGTTTCTACTCGCACACCTAACTCTTTAAAAACTTAACCTCTTTAAAAATTTCAACCAGGTATCTAAAAAATTGTAGAAGTAGATGCGTGTACAAAAAATCCGTACACACACACACACACACACACACATACATACATACTTCCGGACATTTTTT